AGTAGTTCCTTTTTTCTCTTGCCTTACATTTTAACCACACAATAATTTTAAGGACGCAGGTTGTAATGCTGAGTGGACTAAGTGCTGCATCCTAAACCATAATTACACAATAATTTAAGCTGTGTGAGCAATATTATAAAGTGAACTAACCAGCCCACGACTGCAGAGTTGTAGCTCAAATTTAAATTGAATTGAATTGAATTTATAGGCTGTATTATAAAGTTCTTCCAATTAAAAAAGGGAATTTTTTTTGCTCCCGAGTCCCCGGTGCCCAAGCTCAGATGGAAAACTGTCCAATAAAATATTTTTTTTCCTTTTGCTAATCGTGTACACTGACTATTAAAGAAGGGGACAATTTATTATTTATTTCTTTATGAGTGCGCAATTAAAAACTCAGCATCTGTGGTGGCATGAGGGTGCATTGGTGTACATGGCATTAATGAGTAACTCTAACATCTTTGAAGGCACCATTATTCATGAATAATATATATATCGTTTTGGGGCACCATATGTTGTCATCCGGACATTAAAGGCAATGCCAAACCATGCTGAGAATGTATAGTTCTGGAGCAAGAGTTGGGTGCTCAGCTTTCACACCTGTAACTCACACCTGTCAGCCAGTAAAAAATTTGGACATTATGACTAAAAATGGGAGAAAAGAGGCCGTAAACTGTTAAGCAACATCTCTCCTGAGTTCCCAAATGCTAACAGAGGGGTGTTAAAGGAAAATGTGATCACATGTTCAAAGTAACCGTGTGTAAAACACAACAAAATAAAACACAAAACAAAAGAAATATCATTCTTACATTTGATTTGTTTGCTATTTTGAAAATCATTAAAGGTAGACTAGACGGCCTGGTGCTTGATTTTGTACACCTGAGGGAACAGAACTGGAAATAACTGAAGAGGTCTGGTCCAGTAATTGTGACCACATAATGTACCTGTGTTATCATGCCAGATGCGAATTTTCCAGACTTCTCCCATGTTGTCATCTGTCTCCACATGAAACTGGTCCAGGCTGCCACGCTGGAAAGCTCCATCCCTCTGCAGATGGTGCGAGCCGCTCTTTTTCAGACCATACAAACGAATGCCAACGTGTGCCGTAGTTCCTGAAGGGTAGCACCACAGAAACGATCACTTTCCATTTAATTTTAAAGCATTCAAACAGGATAATTCAGCCATTACATGTAATGTTTGGCTTTTCATTTTCTGTCTCTTTAATGTCTTGTCTTTGGCTGACCTGCCCCGGGCCTCCAGCCAGTCTTTACCAGCACTCTGTAGTGGTACAGCCCGGGTCGCCCACACAGTGGTACCTGACTCAGTCTCAGGCTGTCTAAGTGGTCCAGTTTGTGGGCAATGAGCCCCACCAGCAGGTGAATCAAAACCAGGGCAGCACAGATAATCCCTACCACCATGTTCCTCATGGGTTCTCCTGACTGCAGATTTGAATAGGGGAAGAAGGAAAAGAGCAAAAATCATGCATTTATTTTATTTTAAAATATCTACATCTGCTGTAATCCTCTGTGTTCTAACGTACAGGTGGTAGCAAAACAACAGCCCCTGGATGAACAAACAAACTGGCCCCAAACATGGTGAGGTGCTGGGTGAGACATAGCGCTGTGTGGAGTGTGCTGCCCTCCAGTGGTTGAAGACCTTCCCGGCTCCAATGCCTCTCCTTCACATTGTAGTACTGGCACAGAGAGCTGAACACGCACACCGACACATTGACTGGACCGCCGTCGACCAGAGATGAACTCAGGTTGACAGAAAGAGGCGTATCTGTCCCATTCAGACTGTTGTAGAGGGAAATTAATTCATGTGAAGGTCATCTTTATTCATCAAAATGAGCAATTAGAGCAGTGAGTTGCAGAAGAGAGCCGTGACTCACAGGGGAGACAGAAAAATGGTTTCTTCCGAGGAGCTGGCCAGATGAGAGAGTGTAAGAGCCCACTCTCTCATCAGGGAATCCTGGGATGCATTAGTCCTCGGCACTGCAGAGCTTGCTTCAATCTTGACATGTCCTACAGGCAGTGGAGTTGCTCCTAGTGGTGGATAAAAGCAGTTTAAAAGCAGTAATTTTATTAATAATAGCACAAACATATATTGCAGGTTTAATAAATAATTATGTACAAGAGGCACTACATGGTTGGTCCTGAAAGATACCTCCTATCCTGAAATGTGTACACACATGTTATTAGTACATTTATTAATGAAAATGCATTCATACTTTTTAAGTATAGTAGTCATTGCATTGTTCGGGACTGACATAAGTAACAGCAACACACTGATTATTTTTAAACAGTATTATTTTATTTATCTAAAAAGATAAAAAGCTATTCCCTGACTGTGATGTGTGCCCCCTGAGGTAGTCACTGTGGACTGTAATAAACTGACTAAAAACTAGAATCATGCACAACAAACGTACAGTGCTATTCTTTCTTTTTTTGTTTTGCATATTTGTCACACTTCAATGTTTCCAACAAATTTTAGCATTAGACAAAGATAACCTGTAAAAATACAAAATAGATGGGTTTTTTAAAACTTTGTAAATCTACCTTGCCCTATTTGAAAAAGTGGTATGATGTGAGACATTATTCAGAAATGGAAGAAACTTTGAATAGTGGTGAATGTTCTCAGGAGTGGCCGATCTACTAAAATTAGTTCTAGAGCACATCACTGACTCATCCAGCAAATCTTGCTGAATTAAAATAATTCTGCAAGGAAGAGTGGGTCAAAATTGCTCCACATCGATGTAAAAGACTCACTGCCAGTTATTTCAAATACTTGATTGCACTTGCTGCCAAGTATAATTACTTTTAGAGTGCAATTATAACCAGAACCAGGTTTGGATAACTTCTTTCTCTTAATAAATGATATCGTTGTTTACTAAAGTAAAGACATAATTTAAATTTTATGTCTAATATTATGATTTGGCTTCTTATATGAAATGTACAGGTTTGATAAAATGTGTAATGTGTAAACAATATTGTGTAAGAAAAGGGGCAAATATATATTTTTATAGCACAGGAGCTTTGGGTCTGAAAAGCTCTACCCCTGTATATTATTTAGCAGCCACTGCAAAAAAGTTTTGGTCCGTTTGAAGTATATAAGAAAATTCCCTTGGCGTTGTATTCATTTTGGGTTATATAAATAAAATATTTAATCCATTTTATAAATTTAGGTCATAGTGCCAGAAAGAATGACTATCCTGGCTAGGCTGATTCCCACATAGCAAAATTGGTATCTGTCCCACACAATGTGCTTAAACATGGCCCACATACTGCAAAGCATGATGGCCCTTTGGTTTGCCAGAGGTGGCCCACACATGGGCCAGCACAAGGCCAGTTTCAGACACACTGGTGGTCCTGTGCTGGCCCACCCTAACCCTAACCCCTAACCCTAAGGATCTAGTTCTTAAATAGATCTATTTAGTTCTTAAATAGATCTATTTAAGAACTAAATAGATATTAACCAGCAGTGCCGGCTTGATACCAGATCCAGGCCAGACCTGCTCGCTATGTGGGTTGACTAAGGTTTGTGATAGTTAGCTAATAACTGTATGATTTTTGCACTGAGATCCTGGCTACTAGCTCGGCACATCTGGTTTCAAAACACAAGAATAGTGATGATGACATTGCTCATCTCAAGGCTTCAGACTAGAGCACCTATTCACACCTATTTTTCCTGGTGTAAAAACATAAATACATCCTGGTAATCAAGATAGCTAGTTAGCGCAAGCATTAGCTGATAGCTCCCCAGCTCACTCTTCTTTACCTGGTAAATTTATTTATTTATAAACAACAGTCCATGAATATTTTATGAAAAGAAGAAGTTAATGTCTTTAAAATCTATGTCAGACCTAAAAAACACACAATGTTCTAAACTCAACATGAACTTTTGTAACTGTGTTTGCAAGAAAACCCCACAGAGCTCCATTAAGTATCAGGCTATAAAAGCAATGAGCTGTGATATGCTAAAGGACCCCATAGAGTTTAGGAACTGTGTATTGACTTAATAAGAGGCTTTAAACTAAGAAATAGTAGCTTTTGTGTTCATATTTGTAATGGGTATTTAGCTAAAAATTCTACACTCATGAAAACAGAAACAGGAAACAAATCTGGAGCAGGACAGACCCAGAGTAAGAAAAAATAAAGAAACTGTACCTGGAGCCAAGGTGAACTTGAAGGCAATATATAAACCTGCATTTTCATCCAGGCTATCTGGAACTTTTACTGTGAAGTTCAGCTGTCCTTTAGTCGGTAGTGTTACAGTAAGACATGTCCCATTCCCATCTTCACCTACTCTCTCATTTCCATGATCCAAGGAGTACTTATTTGGCAGGGCGACCTGAATGGCTTGTTCAGGGTCCAAACCCACAATGGGTATGGGCTGACCCTGAGGAGTGCTGAGCTCCATGGCCACAAGAGTGGTGGAAATTGGAGGATTGGCTCCTTCCAGTAAAGCGTTGTTATCTAGTAGTTTATCCAAACCAAACAACACCTGCACCACCTCAGACTCTGTATTCTCCAGATGAGCTATCAGGGAGGAGGGCATAGTAAACTGACAATGATGAGAAGCCTTAGATTTGTCAGGAAATGATGACTGTCTCGTGATCTGGTTTGACTGGCAGAGGAGATCAGAAGGGTCTCCTTGGAAACCCACTGAGGTGATATAGTTGGTGGACAGCAAAAAAGGCACCTCGCCAGAAACATATGAACGCATCAGTGTGCGCATTAGAGCTCCAGCATGACTCAGTGCTGACAGGGAGATTACTGATGCTCCCTGCAGAGTTCCCGAGTAGGCTGGGTAAAAACCACTGGATGATTCAGACGCGGCTGCCAGAGTACTACCTGGAAACACATAAAAATATGGTAAATTTCATGTCAGTACATGACTATTTCATGCAGGAGAAGGTGGTTGGCCAGCACCTATAACATTAAGGATGTTTCTTCCTGTATCTGCAGCTGACAAAACGGCAGGATCCGTCTCTTTCTCTATTACATGGATCATCTTCCCCACAGTTTCCAAAACTTTCTTCTGAGAGGTTTCACGTACCAACTCACTGGGAACAGCCTGGAATAAAGAAAACATGCAATGTCAATGCAAGCAAAAAGAAAAAGAAGACGACTATGCTTCTGTTGGGATTGAATAATTTGCAGTGCCTCAATAATGCTATGCTTTTTAATAATAAGTGTTATAAAGTTATATAGTGTAGTATTAAGTGGACACAGCCCTGAAAAATAAAGGCATTAGACCATGTGTCCTTGGGGAGTAGAAAGCTGTAGACTCTCACTCACGCTTGGCTGGGAAAATGTAGATAAGAGGGAACCATCTCTAGTGGAAAGTTACTGAGACACTGTTGTTTAGACTAGAATGAGAGAGCTTCTGTAATAAAACTGTCAGGGGCAAACCACCAACGTGTCATGCAGGACGCAGCTCCCTTCTAGAAGTAATAAAGTGTTAAATGGTCTACTGAGCAGTGTTTTGTTTTCCATCGGATGCCTCTGAGGAATCAGTGTTGATATTTACACTTCACATAGTACATAAAACATAAAAGTCATGCTCTTGTTACTAAATCTATAATTATGATCCAGTAATATAATGTAAAAGGCTGAATTTCTGCATAATAAGTAGGTACTTAATTTTTTTTTTTGCATTGTAGTATTGCTACTTTTGTCATGAACCCTCACAGCAAGATACAGAAGCCCAAAGTTGCTCCATTTCACGTCTGTGAGCTAAATTAAGCTTGCAGTGGGGGAGTGGTACTGACCTTTTCCTTCAATTCTCTACCAGAAAGCCAAGTAAATTTTTCCAAAATGTCAAACTGTTGATTCTTCCCCTCAAGCTCACAGTTATTGTCTGGGCATTGTCTGTGGGTTCCTTACCACAGACTGTGACAGTGTCGCACTGATCTGATCAACATCTAGTAAGGTGGACACAGGGAGAGAGGCGAGAGCTTCTGTTACATTTCCGCGGATCTCCCTCCTATCCATGAGTTCCTCGGCAGTCCACTCAAAGTCCATCTGGTGAAAGGAGTGAAGTGCAGACTCAGGATTCAAAGTAACAAATAATAGTCAAGCTTTATTACAAAACTAATAGCTACAGGCCAGAAAAGGAAATCAATAAGAGGCAATCCAAGTAAAATCGTTTTCCAAAAGGGAACCAATAGGATACAGGAAAACAGAGATTTAATTTTCAAGAACATCGAAATACATAATGAGTGGCAGGGCAATCGGGATGTTGGGTACAAGAAGGCATCAAGACACAGTGTAAAGACCATTCACCCAGGAGAGCTCAAAGCACCAGAGTCACATGATTACCAAAGAAAAAAAGGAAATGAATGATCACTGAAACATGAATTAACTTGACAGAGGGAAAACACAGAAGGAAACCCTGAGGGGACTAATAGAATTTTAATCTTATAATCTAAACTAAAACTCCAAAAAAAAGCTCAAGAAAAAATCTCTAATACCAAAATCCACAGAACTAAATAGATCTTAAATATAGCATCATTCATAAGAAATGAAAAAACAGACTGTGAATAATAATAGAAACAGAAAAAAACCAATAGAAATGGCAAAAATAAAAAAATCCATGAGAAAATCCACAGACCATGACATATGCACTGGAATATGAACATTTTACATTGATACACTACCTGATTGAGCTTGCTGGTGAGAGCAATGGAATACGGGATGATTTCTTGAGGGTTACCATGTTGGACCAAAGCCCACAGTTCAGTCTGGCTCTTGTTTCTGAGCCACTGACTGGCAGCTTCATTGACTGCAGGATTTTCCACTGTCAGTGTTCTTGGGAATGCAGAAATGCAGGGCCACATCAGTTCAGTGCATTAAACTTTACAGACACTGGGCCTGAGGTGTATTATTCATAAAGAATTCTCTTAAATTTTAACTAACACGACTTCTCACCTGTTCAAAGCCACAGCCTTTGCCCCAGAATGGTTCTCTACAAGCAGAATGACTCTGATAACTGACACGGTTTGTCTTTGTCCAGGACTTCCCACTGGGACCAGCGTGCTGAACGTTGACTGTGTCCCCCTTGGGAGAAAAATTCAGACAATCCAAACTATAACTTTGTGTTATGAAAGGCTTAATTTTAAAGGAATAACTAAGCCTGCATGTACTTAGATGTACTTTGTCTGTTAATAACTGCAAGCTGAGGCCATTTACCTATAGAGTGTGAGCACAGGGCACACAGTGAGCTGACATAATGCCACCTGGAAGGTATAGATCAACTGAGAGACTCTGCTTTCATCATCTTGCCATCCTATCCCAGAGAGAGCAGATGTTAGACACAGCCATAAACAACAACGTACATTAAAGTCCAGCTGTGTGATTTTAAATTGTTTGATTAAATTTGTCAGCTGTGTTGAAAGGTGTGAAAAAACAAACATTTACACTTTTGACCTGTCAGATGAAAACATCAATGCAAATTAGATTGTGTAGCCCTGTTGTTTTATAACTTACTGATACCTGAACAGTTGTAGGTGACCTTTGTCTCCAGTAGTTGTATGTCTGACTCTGGACTCAGATCACACAGGCCGCCATGTGGTGGATTGTTTGTTTGTATCATCAAGATGGCACTGCCCCGTTCCCCACTGTGAGGCTGGGCTACATCTAGGGCAAAGTAATAACTCTGTCCAGGCTGAAGGATGCCTGATCGCACCACCAAGCTGCGAGAATATTTCCCTTTAGTGGTGACCTCATCAAGGACGAGGGACAGACCACTTTGGTCATGAGCTCTCCATTTGTACTGTAGAAGACATGTTCATGAATCACAGTAATAACAAAATATATAGGCATATTTATATATTTCCCAATTTAAAAAAAAAAACAGCCAGTCATTACTTTAATTTATCTACTAAACAAATAATTAAATACAACCTCACGCAATATTTCTTTTGCATTTCACAATAATTACCTGTGCCTGGTCATCACATTGTCCACAATGTCCAGAAAGGATAACGGGGGCGTTGTAACTGATGTGGTTAGCAGATGAGCGAACAGAACAGGATACACATTCTATAGTCACAGGAAGCAAGTGAGCTTCACTGACAGTTACCTGAAAGAAATAAGACATAAGACAAGGTTTGATGGTCATTCAGCCCAGTAGCTTCTTCCCTCAGTGACAAGTTCATCCATACCTGCTTAAATCGCCAAAATCATCTGATTGCAAGCAATATTCAACATAACTCCATACCGTTTGGTTAATAGAGGAAGGTCTCCTCCCTTCCTTGTGCACAGTAAGGGTGAAAATGTAGACTGTGCCAGGGTGTAGATGACTGCTTGGTATAGTCATCCTACTGCTGGTACACCCAATGGGCTGCTTTACAAAAGAGGACTCTTTGGAGTTCTGCAAATTGTTATTATAGTTAGACACAGGATGAATGCAATGCAATAGAAATCTTAAACATCCAAAGCTGCCTACCACTGTCATGCAGCTCCAGTGATACTGAAGGGCATCTTCTACTCTTGGCTCAATATCAGGGTCATAAGAGTCAGACCCATCAAGGACAAGGTTGTTTAAGCTGGACCACCATCTGTGGGAGCCTCCCTTGATGAGAGCTACTAATGGTGAGTGGACCACTGTGATGTTAGTCTTCAGTTTGAGGAGGATGGGAGTTTCTTGGAATGAAAGTGTGAATACCAGGCAGTAGCTCCCTACATTAAGCACATGCTTTGGGATTGAGAGAAAAGGTGTTGCATCCTCCAGATTTTGGAGAATGACTTTGTTTCCGGAAATATCAGTGTTGCCATAGGCACAGTCTGACTCGGTGAATACCTCCCACAGATAGAGAGTCTTGTAAGAAGAGCAATTAATATTCACACTTGCTTCAAAGAAACTTGTTCTAGACCTCAATATAGTAGACTGGCTTTGGACCAGGGAGGCCTGTGGGCTGGAACATTGAAGATCCTCCACCTCTATGTGTAGCTGTGAGGACACATTGCTGACACTGTTGAAAACTGTGACCATAACTGTGTATTTGCCAGTGTTATAATAAGTGTTGTTAACAGCACTTGACTCTGTCACTAATAATTCCTTGGATTCTCCAAAGTCCCACACATATTTAATATTGCTTCCTTTGCCCACCGTTGCAGAAAATCGGATAGCATGTTCAACAAATATTTTCTTTGAATGACAGACGAGCTTTACTTTCCTAACAGGCCACTCGACTGTAGCAGTCAGGTTTACTGTCTGAGAGCATTGTCCATTGCTGGCTGACACACTAACAAACAATGAACCATTATCCAAGGGAGTAAAGATGACTTCTTTTCCCATGAGCCAAGTGGGCCTTGACCTTTCCAAGTGAAACATCCAGGTGTAGTTAACTGGAAATCCACTTTGAACCTCTGCTTTGAATTGGGTTCCTTTCTGAGCTTCTAGAGTAGTAGAACAACAGTTTACAAGTTGCAAACCTTGAACTTGCTCAGTGATTAGAATGCTAGAGGACGCCTCTGCACTACTGACCTGGTTGAAAGCTTGAACTGTAACTATGTGTCTCCCGACTGAAAGACTTGATGTGGTGTATTGGCCCTCAAAAATATCACTTAGAGTCCAGTGTTTGTTTTGGAAAGTTATAAGAAAGCTTACATTGCTTCCTTTGGAGATTGTTGGAATAAATGTTACTTGTTCGTTAGTACAGAAGGAGGACTTGCTATTGCCCAGCACAAGACCTTTGATTGCATCCTGGACTGTGACATCGTGTGAAACCATCTGCCAACTTATCTCATTGGAAACATTCAGATACACCTGGTAGGTGCCTGCATGCGAAAATCTGTAGTTAAATGTTTGACTGGTTGAGGTAAAAATGTTCTGTTTGGCAGTTCTAGCTTTCCAGTCCCAATGCAGATCATTACCCTTGTGAATAAACCCATGAAAGGAAAAAGTAGCACTTGCATTGACATAAAATGGATGTGTCTTGTTGTCAATTTGAAAGTCTACATCTTGGACTTCTTCCTGAACTAAAAACTGTTTGGTGTTGTTACTCTGGCTCACAGCGTTCCAAACTACAACTGTGACAAGATAAGAACCCAGACTTGGAAAAGTGTAAAGCAGAAAAGGTTCCTGTGTCTGAAGGGGTAAAAGGTTAGCATTCATACGCCAAAGGTATTGTAAGTCTGATCCGGTATCCACAAAAACAGAGATATTCACTACTTTCTTCCATGCCACAAAGTTTGACTGTACTGTTATGACTGCATTTTTTACACGTTCAACTACTACTAAAGAAACACTCTTGGTAACCTCACCCATCACATTGGAGGCTCTAAGCTGAACTGAAAGATTACCAGGTGTTCCAGGTAACAAATGAAAACGTTCTCCTTCACCTGCAATTTGTTGGGTTGTTTCACTCTGTCTGGCAAGCCAATGGAAAGTAATGTTGGAGCCTTTGGTGACTGAAGTAGTAAACAACACTTCCTCATGAGTTGGTATATATTTCTCATTTATCAGGCTTTGACATTCAATCTGAAGTCCCTCTATTCTTTCAAATGCCTCAATTAAAATATCTGCCTCTCTTTTACTCAATAGATTCTGTGCTATAGCGCTTACTCGATACACTCCTGGTCTCGGGAAAGCAAATCTAAACTCATGAGTTCCCTGACTGGTTAAAGATATGCCTTCTACTGTCCAAAAGTAGCTGGCACTGCTAATTCCAGCACTGCTAACTGCTGTGATGACAGTTTCCTCTCCTACCACAGAATAAGGCTGGCTGGTGTGAAGTGAAAGGTCTGAAACAGGGAGTATTACATTCACTGTGAGGGTTGTAGAGTCCCGGCTAACAGCGTTAAATGCTATTGCAGTGACTGTGAACTGACCCAACAAGGTAAAGACATGTGAGACGTTATGTTTCTGCTCCGCTGGTGACCCATCTCCAAAGTTCCACAGCACTGACACATTGGTGCCAGCACAACTGGCAATCCAAAATGATGCTACTGTATTGACAATCAGTGCATCACTTTGGCTATTGTGCCTAATAGAAAGTCCGCTCACTGGTTTTTGAATGGTAATGTTAACTTTGGCTGTTTTGCTGCTGACTTTGTTACTTGCTGTTACTGACACCTCTTCAACACCTTCATCTCCAAAGACAAAACACCTCTCAGAGTTTTCAGTTACAGCAGCAAGATCATAGGAGTTACTAAACCATTTGAACTGGTAACCCATCATCTGTTCAGGGGACACTAACACACCAAAGCATATTTGTTCGCCAACTGCCACCACATTCTTTGAGCGTTGCATCACAACATTCGTTATTGGACTTTGAACACAGACACTCGTATTAAATGAGGTACGTGTGAAAGAACTAAACACAGTCAGGTTAACATGAAAAATACCATGGCTTGGAAATATATGCATGGCTGTGGACTGTCCTATCACTACAGTTACATTTGAGTCTTTAAACAGCCAATGGAAAGTCAGACTGGATACGTTTCCATTCACCAGAGCTGTAAACTGCGTGTCTTTTCCACTCATGATGCATTCCGTCGGGAGAACACTTCTAATAGTCAAAGCATAGACCTCAACAATGATAGACTGAAAAGCTTTGCTGACAGAATTATAGACAGTCACTTTTACTGTATAGTTCCCTGGAAACTTATAGATGTGTGAGATGGAACCATCTGTAAGATTCTCCTGCCGGGACCCATCACCAAAGTCAAAATCCCAGAGGAGGTCAGTACCAGTAGAAACCTCAGCTTTGAAATCTGTAGCAGAGCCAACTTCACTTGATCTGCTGCTGGAGACAGTTAATCCAGAGATTTTCTCCATAACTACCACCAAATCCCAGGCACTAATGGATGAAACTGTGTTATTAGCCAGTACTGTGATGTTGTATACTCCTGCAGATCCAAACCTATGGCCAGTTCTAGCGTGGATGCTTTGGACAGCTTTAGAACCATCTCCAAAGTCCCATGTGTAGAAGACAACAAAAGCGGAGGGTTCGGTTGAAGCTTCCAGATCGAAAGTCTGGTTGACAACAGGCACCAAAGTGGAAGAGGAAATGAAGAGGCTGATTAACAGAGGGCGGACATTTATCTTCATGGATGTTTCAGTGTTGTCATATTGGTTGGAGACTTGAACGTGAAGTGTGTAGTCCTCTGGATTAAACACAGAAAATGAATTTTGCTTTATTGTACTGAATACTATAAGTGCATAGCAGTCAACCACAGTGTCATTTGTGGTACTTTCCTACTAAAGACTTAAGAAAATTTCAAAAATATTATCCTTTCTAAAGTGGTTAAAAATATGAATCTCCATTAAAAGAGAAACAAATGGTTTAAAATATATACATATGATTCTGGGGTCCCTGCCAAAAAGGCAACAAAGAGAAAATTTAAAAGTGAAATTAAATTAACTAAAAGATAATTTAATGTTTGCTTAACCGGCTGTTTAAAGCACCATTAAACTCATATTAATTACCTTTTTAGCCAGTGTGTGTTGGAGAAACTAATTGTAAACATAACACTGCTCTACTGCGAACACATAAAGTCAATATGCTGAAGGAGTTTGCAATCATTTGCCTCATTACACATCAAGCAGACATATAGCAACATTAGTATTTAGCATCTGGTTTGGTTTTAACCAAAATGTGCAGCACTCCCAAATGCTCCAATATGTCCACCAGACTTTCTATCAGTGTTGATGCTTGGTAGGTGGGTTTAGTGGCGTTAGTTGCTAAAATCAGCTGCTTGGTAAAGGAATAGGAAGGTCTGATTAAAAGTGTCAGTGAACCAAAACATTAAAGACATGGGATGTAAAGTTAAAATAGGGAAAAATATTACAATAATCAGCAGTGTCAATAATTTAAGTCTTCTGTGCGTGTTTACCTGGGATCCGATAGCTGTAGTTTACCGACTCCTGGATATACATTTGCTTCTCTCTTCTTGCCACATGTGCTTCCATGGCCTGACATGGAGCAGGCTGCGTGTGGATGACACTGCTACTGCCATCCCCAAAATCCCATCTAAGTGACAAGTTGCATGAAAAGCATACAAAAAGAGCTTTATGAGTGCATTTTCATTGCAAGACTTTCTTGTCAATAAAAAATTCAATAAAAGTCTTTGGAGAGATGGCTACAGAAGTCTTTACCTAAAGGTAACTGGAAGGGAGATATCAACTCTGACCCTCACAGTGTAGAGGTGAGTAACATCCACAGCCACAACCTCACTCACTGACAGGAACTCTGGGTCAGCTAGCAGCGTGATTTCATCTGCAGTCAGGAGTATTTGCTGGCTCTGCGAGCTCACTGGGTTGGATGCTGTCACCTACAGATAGTTCACTGATTACTAAAACTGCTTTTTCAATCCTTTTTTCTATTAACTGTAATCATGAAATTTCTATTTGTTATATTTGCCAAATAATATAAAACAACTAATATCTGAGCATAGTGCACTTTTTTTTTTCTTACCAGCAGCTTATACTCAGCAGGTTTCTTGAACATTACGCTGTAAGCTCCCCCTTCATAGGCAAACTCTTTTAGGTCGTCAATCACCCATGAGAATTTTACTGAAGAGCCGCTTTCCAGTGTGGCTGTAAATGACTACAAAATAAAACATAAAAAATGTCATTACATTAAACTAAGGAAACTAACATTACTTTCATGTCCATGTTTAACTGTGATTGCAACTCTTACTGAAACACTAACTAAATCTAAAACAAAATAGTCAATGGCCTCCAAATTAAGCACTTAAGACAGCAAATATTTGATGGAGCTTTCCATACAGCTACTGCAGTACAACTGATATGCAAGGTATAAAGAAGATGCACTGACACACTGTACTCCAGGTACAGAAGCACACTCATAGACACACCAAGAAACCCCATTAACTAGGTTAAGTTTAAGCAAGGGAATCAAGTCAGTCAGTGATGTGTCAGCCTGAAACACTGTGGTGATGAACAAAGCAATGTGACCAGTGCAAAGAGCTTTCAGCAGCTGATGGATTTAAATATGAATCTTTGGTCCTATGCATTGTGAGCTGAAATATCTTGGACTTGATGAAATATTACACCAATGATCCACTGGAATTGTAAATTAATGTAGATAAGAAACGTACTATACTTATCAACTTTATGTTATGTGTAAAGGTTCTTTAGGTATTCCTGCAATGTATTCTTGAAGTTATACTTGCAAATTTAATTTTTTTTTGCTAAGAACAAACAAAACCAAAAAAATCTGACAAAAAACAAACCTCTGTAAAAGTTTTTAAGTTGCCAATTTGATTTCTCTGTAGTAAGAAAAAAAATAATCTAAAATTGCCAGTGGCTGGAGTTATGTAGTATATTAGCTTTTTCCTGTGTTGGCCATCACACACACATGCAAACCTTATTTGGATAGACGGTTAAAATGATGGATGGATGGATGGATGGATGGATGGATGGATGGATGATTATGAACTATTGTCTGGGGACCATGTGTGTCCTCCAGAACTTGGATAACATCTAGTTGTTATTAATTTCTTTTGGTTGCATTCAAACTGGCATAACAATTAACATAAACTGCTATTTTGAGACTCACACAAGCTATTTCATTAAAATATATTGTTAAAAAAAAACTTAAAATCTTTGTCACAGTTTCCTTTTTTGGTGGTCTCACCTGCGATGTATCTACAAGCATCCTCAGGCATCCATGTGGCTCAACACTAAGCCCCGTCACAGGCTCGTAGCCACAAACCTTCACGCTCAAACTCTGAAAACTTTGCACATCCATCACACTGATGTTCAGGATTTGAATTCCAGGTGATGATAAGACCAGAGTCGCAGATGAAAACCAGGTATCCTGGGATTGCTTCCTACAGCCAAGTGAAGACTGAAACATATTTTCAGGACAGGATGGAAGAAACGGAACTCCAGTCTGGAGCACTGGGGCTGACCATGAGCTGCTGGCTTTTTCTCCAAACAGGGCCTTGAGAATAATGACAGTTGGGACACTGATTTGGACATGAATCTGGTTCTCATCATCTGGGAGTGGGTGAATGACCTCAAGTTGGAATTTAGACCTAAGACTGGGATTAGGGCTTGTAGTAAGGGGCCTAATACCACTGACAGTGGCTGTCTCTGTCTGAGTATAGTCAAAGATGTCTTCATGCTCCGTAGCTCTGTGAAGCGTGTCCACATAAAGCATTCTTAGATTACACACAATTCCATCCACCCACTTGCTTCCTTGGGGCAGTAAAGTAACTCCTTCCAACCAGCCTCCCCACTCCATCCCCCTGAAGGACAGGTAACTTTGGCTCCAGGGAGAGTTTTGAGAGGCTTCACTGTTTAGGCAATGTAGAAATGTTCCAGAGTCAAGAGTGTGCTGTATAGCCACAATATCATCAGGGTAAACCACGATGGCTCGCTCTAAGAGGGGCAGCTATTGAAAAAACAAACACAATAACGTGTAAAGAATTATTGTGGCATAAGTTTTAAAAGGTGCATTTTCCAAAAAGGTTGCAAGATAATCAACAAACCCTTATGGTGTTTAGCTCAAAGGTAGGGTTTATTTTCAGAGGCAGGTCTGCCACCACGTGATAGAACGGTGGTAAGTCGGAGTATCTTGGGGGTAAGGCAAAGCCCCGATTTCTGATGGCAGAGTCGTAGGTGCTGCATGGACTGGTGGTGAGCACGCATGCCTCCAGTAGATGGCACCAGTGCTGCCCTGTGCTGCAGCCCCCTGTAGTGTTACACAGCGGTACTGCTGAGCAGCAGCTGAATGGATTAAGGAGAGAGCTGCAGCCTGACAAATAAAAAAGCAGATTATCACCTACAGTATCAGACAAATACATCCTACACCTCCTTCACATTAGCACCTACTCAGCTCGACTCAACTTGACTCGGTTTTTAGTGTTTTCTATTAGGTGGTAACTTGGTTAGTAGTTGTACCTAGTCAGCCTGGGTTCCCATCAAGCTGAGTCAAGCAGAAAATGTGATGTCGATAGACTGCGTGTCATTGACGGGCCTGAGAGTGATGTCACTGAATAACCCAAGAGCCTGCATCCTTTTCTGACTCTCTTCTTTTATACTAAGTCTTACGAAAGGCCATAAAGTGACCAGCAGGTATACATCACCTCAATGTCCTCCAGTTTGTGTTGTGTTTGTGTTGCATACAAATGACACACACTGGGCCTTCCTATAACTATCCCGCCCACATTGAGGTGGTACTAAATTGTATTGACAAAATATCCCAAACTGAGTTGAGTGGATCTGAGCCAAGTAGGTGCTATGAAAAATTAGGCTTT